CAGGCAGCAGGGCCAGAGGTCGGCCGGGGCCCTCCTGTGGGAACTGGCCCCTGACCCCTGACCCTGACCCCTGACCTCCCACTACGCACCTGGAAGGGGATGACAAGGTTGATGGGCTCCCCGACTTTGCGGATGAAAGTCTGGCGCAGGTGGCGGGGGAGTCGGATCTTGGGTTGCTCTGCGGACACAGACCCCAGGGAGGTCAGCGCTGGGCTCGGGGACCCTCGAGAGGGACGAGGATACCGCGGCGATGAAACCGTGGGCGGGTGGGGGCTAGCGATGGCCTGGGCAGGGCTGGCCAGAAGACACCCGCATGGTCTGCGGGAGGACAAGGTCAGGGGTCAGGGGTCCGGGGCGCTCACCCACGATCTCCCTGATGGTGACCGGCTGAGCCAGAGTGGCCGGCTCGCTGCGCCCCGCGATGTTGACCCCCACGACCCGGAAAATGATTCTGGCTCCTGTGGGAAGATCCTTGACGGTGAAGCCGCAGCGCTCGACGGGCTCCGTGTTCGCGGGGATCCACTCCTCGGCTGGAGAGAGGGCGGTGCCGGGATCTGCCTTCCGACTGACCGACCGACCGGCCGCTGGCCCCTCAGCCCCTGGCCCCTCCACCTCCCCCGGGCCCGGAACTGGCAGCAGCTGACAGTTACTACCACTGTGACCAGGCTCGACAGATGGGACGAGACACCCACGGGGACCCAGGAGCCCCGCCCCCCGGCCTGCAGGCCACTCACAGTCCTCCAGGCAGTACTCCACCAGGTACCCGTCGATGCCGCCCGCCCCGATCCTGTCGGGGGGCCGCCACTTGAGGGTGGTGGTGGTGTCTGTCACGTCCTCCACTGTCAGGTGCCGGGGTTCACTTGTGGGCGCTGTAAGGATCCAGGGGAAGGGGCGGTGGGGGTAAGTGAGGGTCAGGGGTCAGCAGGGAGGGTCACGGGTCAGAGTTGGAGTCCCCGGTCAGAGAGTGGGCCAGAAATCCATGAGCAAGGACACGTCATCGATGATAATTAAAACAAGATATCCCGGCCCTGACCAGTGTGGCTTAGTGGATAGAGCGTCGGCCTGGGGACTGAAGAGTCCCTGGTTCGATTCCGGTCAAGGACACGTACCTTGGTTGCAGGCACATCTCCAGTAGGGGGTGTGCAGGAGGCAGCTGATGGATGGTTCTCTCTCATCGATGTTTCTAACTCTCTATCTCTCTCCCTTCCTCTCTGTAAAATATCAATAAAAATCAATTGAAAATAAATGAAAACAAGATATCAAGGAAAAGTGAGGTCTCCGAGGGCGGAGACAGGGGTTAGTCTGCTAGGTCAGAGGTCAGTGCGATACTCAGGCGGCAGCACAGAGTGTAGGGCCACGGAGGCCAGGAACGGGGCGGGGGGGGGGGGCTCAGGGCCAATGCGCTGAGTCGTTGGGTGAGTGGGGGCAGAAGCCGGCAGACTCTGTGGGGTCAGAGGTCAGCAAGAGGCAGGGCAGGGGTGAGCTGCAGCCAGGGGCCCAGTGAGGGGGCGGGGGACCTCACCGATAGGCATGAAGGGCTTGGTGTTGAGGCTGGGCTGCGACACCCCGATGGCGTTGACGGCGAAGACCCGCATCTCGTACAGGACGCCCTCGATCATCCTGGTGGACTCGTAGGTCGTCTCCGTGAAGACCTCGAAGTTCAGCTTCATCCAGCGCTGGGAGCCCTTCTTCTTCCGCTCCAGGAGGTACCCTGCCCCCCGCCAAGGAGAGAGTCGCCCGGGTCATGGAGAGGCCACGGCGGGGTCACAGGCCCGCTGGGGCAGCGAGGGTCACAGGGACAGGCCACGGAGGGGTCACGCTGGGGCAGCGAGAGTCACAGGGACAGGCCACGGAGGGGTCACAGGGGCAGGCCACGGCGGGGGTCACAGGCCCACTGGGGCAGCGAGGGTCACAGGGACAGGCCATGGCGGGGTCACAGGCCAGTGAGGGTCACAGGGACAGGCCACGGCGGGGTCACAGGCCCACTGGGGCAGCGAGTGTCACAGGGAGAGGCCACGTGGCCCAGAGAGGCCTGAGGCCATGACTTTGGGATTCATCTCAAGGTCACCAGCAGCCAGGGTTCACCAGTCATGGGGTCACGGGTCATAAATCCGGGGGTCAGGGGTCACAGAAAACCCCAGGCTATTGCTCTGAGGGAGGACTCCGAGGTTGTTAGGGAGTTTGGCTCAATGGATAGAGCGTCAGCCTGCGGACTGAAGGGTCCCGGGTTCGATTCCCGTCAGGGGCACATGCCCCGGTGGCAGGCTCCTCCCCAGCGGGCAGCTGATCAATGATTCTCTCTCATCATGGATGTTTCAGTCTCTCTCTCTCCCTCTCCCTTCCTCTCTCTGAAATCAATAAAAATATATATTTTTTAAAAAGATGAAAACCAGGTCTGGGGGTTGGGGGGGTCACTGAGGATGCTAAGGACTCTGGGAGGTCAAAGAGAAACCAGGGGGGCCGGGAGGTCGGAGGTCACGGGAACTGGTACGAGGCACTCACCGGTGACTGGCTGTCCCCCATCATACTTGGGCGGCTCCCAGACCAGGATGGCCCAGTCCTCTCCGACTGAGGTGACACGCACTGCCTCCGGGGGGTCTGGGACATCTGGGGGGGGGGAGAGAGTCAGGAGCTCCTCACGGCCTCAGGGAGCCACCCCCCAGCTCAGCCCCTTGGGCTCCCCCTGCTCACCCACAACCCGCACGAAGATGGAGGCCACGTCCTCGCCAGCGGGGTTGGCGACCTTGATGGTGTAGCGGCCCTCGTCCGCCCGCTCCGCACTCTCGATGACAAAGCTGCTGCACTCCACGCGCTGCTCGATGCGCATCCTGCCCTCCTTGGCCGAGAACACCTGGGCACAGCGCCCACGGGCCATGGGCCGCCTCTCCCCACCAGACCGCCTCTGCCCCTGCCCTGCTGGAATCTCCCCGCGGCTTCCCGTCAGCCCCTCCTCCCTCAGACCCAGGAGTCCGGGGCCCCAGTTACCAAGGCCGTGGGCCAGCACAAAGGATCCGTTGGATCTGCACCAGCCTCACTCATCACTTCCTACGGCCCTCCCCGCCCTCCACTGAAAACACCAGACTGGCTCCTGCCAAGACCTTGCAGGCAATGTCCCGACCCACCCACGTATCTCTCTGCTCTACTGTTGTCATTCCTCTCATCCCTCTGTGCCGCCTCTTCCAGGAAGCCCTCCTGGATGCCCTCAAGGGAAAGTGACGGCCCATCCCCTGAGTTCTCATCGCATCGGGTGCCTCCCATCACCCTGGACTCTGACTATCCGGGCGGGTGTCTGCCCCTCTCCCAGCGTGAGGGCTCCCGGGAGGTGGGGGCTGCGTGGTCAGTGATTGATGCGTGGGTATCAGTGTGGTGCCTGCACAGAGGGCCTGGCAGAAAGGAGAGCTCGGGGGTGTTTGCCGAGGGAAGGGATGAATGAAGACAGAGTCTCTCCCTTTTACAGGAGAGGAAACTGAAGCCCAGAGCAGACACACTGGACTGTCCCGGGGCCTGGAACATACAAGGTCAAAATATTTGTTGAGTGGAAGGAAGGAAGGAAGGATGGATGGATGGATGGATGGATGGATGAGTGGGTGGACAGGATAAGTGGGTTGGCTACTGGACAAATGGATTAAATACTGGATGAGTGGATGGATGGGTGAATTAACCCATTAACTGATGAGTGGGGAGATGGATGGATGGAGAATGACGGATGGAGAGATGGATGGACGGAGCACCCACCATGTGCTGGGACAGTCCCCTGAGACGGACAAACTGAATCTCCAATCTTCAAAAGCTCCCTCTGAAGAAGGAATCACAATCCTCATTTTACGGCTCAGAGAGGGAAAGCCACTTGCCTAAAGCTGCCCAGCAGAGCCGAGCGGCCAGGTGGTCAGGGCGCAGGGGAAGCCCCACATACCTCGTCCCCCTTCAGCCAGGTGGCCTCGGGAGGGGGCTCCCCCGTGATGGCCACGTCCAGCCTCAGCTTGTTCCCCGCCACGACCACGATGGAGTTCTCCGAGGTTTTCCCCGAGCAGTCCAGGTGGATCTTCGGTGGCTCTGGCGGCAGAGACGGGATTCCAGGGACATGGGAGTCGGCAGCGGGGCCGTCCCAAAGCCCTCCAGGGGGTCTCCGGAGAAGCGGGGTTCCCCAAGCCATAGAGACCCAGGGGTCCAGGCCCCGGACCCTCCTCCCTCAGACCCAGGGGTCCAGGTCCCCAGCTCCTCCTCCCTCAGACCCAGGCCCCCAGTCCCTCCTCCCTTACCCAGGAGTCCAGGCCCCCAGCCCTCCTCCCTTAGACCCAGGAGTCCAGGCTCCCAGCCCCTCTTCCCTCAGACCCAGGAGTCCAGGCCCCCAGCCCCTCTTCCCTCAGACCCAGGGGTCCAGGCCCCCATCCCCTCCTTCCTCAGACCCAGGGGTCCAGGCCCCCAGCTCCTCCTCCCTCAGACCCAGGCCCCCAGCCCCTCCTCCCTCAGACCCAAGAGTCCAGCCCCAGATACCAAAGCCACAGGGTCCCTACCTTGCTTGGGGACGTACTCCACCTTGATTTCTGGTGAACACAGGAGAGGGGATGGTTAGGTCTAAATCCATGAGGCCTGATCCCACCTTCACCCCCAGAGGCAGAGGGGAGGGCCTGGGGTCACGCGGGCACCGGGGTGCGGGGATGGGCTCAGGACCGTGTCTGTCCCACTGGTTCCCCCCTGGTCACACTGTGGGGGAAAAGATGCTCTCCCTCATCTTCTGTCTGACTGCCCCGCCCCCGCCGTGTGCACTGAGGAAAGCTTTCTCCTGAGGGGGCACTCGGGCCCTGGGGGACAACCAAGGGACCCCTCACCCAGGAAGTTGAGCTTGGCTGAGAGAGACAGGGCGTAGCCATCGGGCACGAACGTGTAGTCCCCCTCGTCCTCCGGGCGGACGTCATTGATCACCAGCTTGTGGATCCTAAGGGGTTGGGGGCACAGGGCAGACAGAGGTCAAGCCAGGTCGCCCTGGGACCACCACGGAGAAACATCCTCCACGGTGCAATGTACATGCTCACACCCACCCTTTTTCTTTTTAATATGTTGTTTTTTTAAAATTGATTTTAAAGAGAGGGGATAGGAGAGGGAGAGAGAGAGAAACATTGATGAGAGAGAAACACTGATGGGCTGCCTCCTGCACACTCCCCACTGGGGATATACCACAACCAAGGTACATGCCCTTGACCGGAATCGAACCCCGGACCCTTGAGTCCACAGGCTGATGCTCTACCCACTGAGCCAAACCGGTTAGGGCTAATATGTTTTCTTTAAAATTGATTTTAGAGAGAGGGGATAGGAGAGGGATAGAGAGAAACACTGATCGGCTGCCTCCTGCACGCCCCCTACTGGGGGTCACCCCCAATGGGGCATGTGCCCTGACAGAGAATCACACCAGTGACCTTTTGGTTCACGGGTTGACGCTCAACCACTGAGCAACCCCAGCTGGGCCACACCCACCCTTTTTCCTCTGGCCTTTGGAACTCTGGGTTCAAATCTCAGCTTGTCCCCTTCCTAGCTGTGTGGCCTTAGGCAAATTACTTAACCGCTCTGTGCCTGAGTTTTCATCTATAAAATACAGGCAATGATGCCCATCCGGTGTGGCTCAGGGGTGGAGCGTCGACCTATGAACCAGGAGGTCACGGTTTGATTCCCAGTCAGGGTGCATGCCCAGGTGGTGGGCTCGATCCCCAGGTGGGGGCGTGCAGGAGTCAGCTGATCAATGATTCTCTCTCCCTCTCCCTTCCTCTCTGGAATCAATAAAAATACATATTTTTAAAAAATACAGGTGCCCTAGCCAGTTTGGCTCAGTGGAAAGCGCGTCGGCCTATGGACTGAAGGGTCCCAGGTTCGATTCCAGTCAAAGGCACATGTCTGGGTTGCGGGCTCGATCCTCAGTAGGGGGCATGCAGGAGGCAGCCGATCGATCATTCTTTCTCAACACTGATGTTTCTCTCTCTCTCTCCCCCTCTGCCTTCCTCTCTAAAATCAATAAAAATATATTTAAAAAAATACAGGCAGTGATAACAATCCCCACCAGGGTTGTGAAGCATTTAGAAAGCTCCCCGGCGCGCAGTGGGTGCCCTGTGAGCTGTAGGGTTTCTTCTTCTCACTGAAGCCACAAGCAGGCAGGGTTCCTACACAGAACCCAGAGAAAGCCACGTTCCCCCCGGGGCTGCAGTCCGGAACCCCACAGGACACGACATCCGGTGGCACTACGGTGGCATTCTGTACAGACTGCAAATAGGACCACGATTTCCCCTCCCTCTGCCCACGCCCCTTGCCAGGAGAGCGTGCAACCTTTGACTTCCTTCGCCCAACAGAATGCGGTGCAAGTGCCCTGGCCGGCGTGCTCCGTGCTTAGAACGTCGGCCAAGGGCGTGGGCCTGGGCTGCAGGCTCGATCCCCAGCTCTGGTCAGGGTGCATGCGGGCGGCAACCAATTCATGTGTCTCCCTCACAACCGTGTTTCTCTTTCTCTCTCTCCCTCACTCTCCCCCGACTCCCTCCCTTCCATTCTCTCTTTAAAAATTTCAATGCAAAAAAAAAAAAAAAAAAGGAATGCCCTAACCGGTGTAGCTCAGTGGATAGAGCGTCGGCCTGCGGACTGAAGGGTCCCAGGTTCGATTCTGCTCAAGGGCATGTACCTGGGTTGCGGGCACATCCCCTGTGGAGATTGTGCAGGAGGCAGCTGATTGATGTTTCTCTCTCATCGATGTTTCTAACTCTCTATCTCTCTCCCTTCCTCTCTGTAAAAAAAATCAATAAAATATATTTTTTAAAAAAAGGAATATGGTGGAAGCAATACGGGGACAGTTCCCAGCCTGGGCCACACAGTTATGTTCCCCTGCACGCCCTCAGAACCCGTTTCTAGCACGTGATGATGCCAGGGCCAGCCCTACTAGGGGATGAGACATCATCAGGCCCAGTGCAGACACAGCCCAGTGCCTCCAAGTCCCCACAGAGCACAAGAGGGTGAGCAGAACTGACACTCAGCTGACCACACAAGCACCAGGAAGGCCATCCTCTATCAGCCAGCCTCCCGTCGACCCACAGACTCGAGTAATTAAGTCCTTGTTCTTCGGAACCACTAAGTCCGGGGATGGTTGTTACGCAGCTAGCGCTAGCTGATACACACACCCCATCCCCCCAGTCACCTCCATAGTCTACTCCGCACCTCCCCGTGTGGGAGATGGTGATCCTCTTGCTGGGCCGCACCTCGACCCCATTTTTGAACCACTTGCCCGTCACCTTTTCGTCGGACACTTCGCACTTGAACACGGCCTGGTCCGAGGCCTTCACTGTCAGATCCGCAATGTCCTGCAGGACCTCCAGCTGTTTCACTGGACGAGGAGAGAAGGAGAGGGGCCTGTCACAACTCCCGTCTGTTCACAGACATGTGAACTGGGAAACACATTCACGTCACAGGAGGGAGCCATGAAGCCTGAGGGGAGGTGGGGACGAGCCCACAGGAGGACACAGGGGTCCCCGGGTGGAGAGGACGGCGTGTGCAAAGGCCCCGCGTAGCAGAGCGGGCTTGTTGGTGTGGGAACAGCAGGCAGGCGAGCTGTGGTAGGAGATGAAACGGGCAGGGCAGCCGGGGCCCGATCCCGGGGCTTGTGGCCCAGGAGAGGACTCTGTGTGGAGTCTGAGCAAGGCCGGAGTGCGCGGGGTGATGGGAAGACAGCGGGGATCTGACTTACATTTTTATTTTTATTTTTTTATGATTATTGTTTTTTTTTACTTTCTCTTGCGGTTTGAGAATTCCGTTATTTCTGTAACAATTCTTTTTTTAAAAAAAAAATATACTTTATTGAGTTTTTACAGAGAGGAGGGAATCACTGATTGGCGTTAGAAACATCAATGAGAGAGAAACATCGATCAGCTGCCTCC